TATATAAAAAAATTACCCTTCATTCCATTCAAAGCTTGTCACTTTCCCTTTTTAGACATCTCAACTAAATGTTTTCATTTTCTATTTTAGAAAACAATTAAAAATGAAAATTTAATAATAAATTTTAAAAATAATACATTTATAACATCACATTTGTCATCAATAACTCATTATATTATATACGTAGACATCAAAACTATTTCTCAAAATATACTCGAATTAGAATATTGAATTATTATCTATGCACATGCATTATATATAGTTGACACAATCATGATCACTAAAGTTATAGTCGATGAAGTATAAAAAGACATATTTTGTTCACTCTTATTTAGATCATATATTTGTCATTATTTTCAAATATATCACCGAACATGCTTAATCTTGATTTTTTAATATTTTGCATCAACGCAGCTTTAGTTCTAAACTTATTTTTATGTATTTCAATTACTTTAATTAAGGATTTAAGTATACATAATATTATTATTTTTGAAAATGGAGCCCTACAAAATTTGGAGGCCCTAGACAAATGTCTAGGCTACCTCCCCCCATGGCCGGCCCTGGATGAATTATACAAAGTGTATGCTAATAAACCAGTTACGGAAAAGGTGGGTGTAGCTCAATGGGTAATCATCCATTCCCAAATCTCTCCTAAACTCCGATATTAGGGAGGCTCACCTTGATCACATGCATCCATACAAAGCATTATTAAAAAAGTAAAAAAAAAATAAAAAAAAAATCAGTTGTACATCCGTAACGAGCCAGCGTAAAAAAATCCATATCTTGTACTCCTTCTGTCCCACAATTAAAGTCACAGTTTGATTTTACTGTCTCCTCGGCGAACGTTTGACCATAATTATCTTAAAATTTATACCTATATATGTAATGATTTGATATTTCTGTAATAAAATTAGGGAAATAACTTTAAATAATATCAACTATCTTCCAGGAATCAAGAATAATAATAACATATACTTTTGAAATACGGAGTAACTTTTAATAATACCAACTATCTGTATGTAAACCAAAAATAATATAGTCACTTTTCTACAAGAAATCCCGTCATTGAAGACATCAAAAACTAATATCAAATCATCTAATAATTGATATTTGGAAATACGATCACTCATTTGATATTTTGATATTAGTTCGTGATGAGTTAAATAACTGATTTTTTAGTGAAAATTTTCTCAATATCACTTTTGGTATATATTACAATAGCTGGTATTATTAAAAGTGATTTCTAAAGCTTGTATTATTCTTGGTTCATGAAAGATAGTATTATTTAAAGTTATTTTCCCCAATGAAGCACATAAAATTAATTTTTTTGTAATAAAAAAATTATTAATTTTAAGTAAATAATTAATGATCAATGTTTAATTAGTTTGACTCAAATGTAAAACTAGAACTTTAATAAGTTCTTTCCCGGAATAATGCTAATTAAATTAATAATTCCCGAAATACTTTTGAGTTAAAAATAATTTCCAAAATACTGTTGGTGTTAATCATGGTTAAGGAAAGCTGTCACTCAAAGTGACAGTTCTATTGCACAAAAGAACCGCCACTTCGAGTGGCGGCTTTCCTTAACTGTGATTAACACTTGCAGTATTTTGGGTATTACTTTTAAACCAACAATGTTTCATGAATTATTTATTTAATTAACATTATTCTTTGAAAAAACTCAACTTTAATTGGGTCATTTGTAATCATGTAATGGGTCATTTGTCCGGCCTTCCCCGCAAACATGAAACAATGTTGAGATCTGGAGTCTTCGGCGCCTCAACGGCAACGAACCAGGTGTCAGGCCGTCTAATAAATTTAGAGGCCCCATTCTAAATACCAAATGAGGCCCCACATATGAATAAAAATAAAATCATAAACAATATAAAAACTCACAAAGTTCAACAAAGTTAATTATGTCCAATTGTTCATATAGAAAAAATACATGATTTAAAATGACTATATGTACAGAGTAATTCATATGTATCGCTTGAATAAAGTTGAAATTCTTTCTGAAATTAACAAACAAGTGAAATAACAAATTAACGATTAACAATAATAAAATTACAAAGGTGAAAAAACTAAAGAAGGTTAAAAGTGAAAGTCTGAACAAGTGAAGGTTGTGATTCTGTAAAGAATGAACTGTGAGCAGCAGAACAGGACAATTGTAGGCCGCAAGGTGCAGGGCGCAGGTGACCCAGCTTCACCCGATTTCAGATTGCCACCTTGCCGAGAACTCGAGATGCATGCAATGGCTATCGCCTGAATCTGATTTGCCGATTACTCGATTAGCGAGGACGCCGAAGATTCGAAGAGTCTCTTTTTTGGAGAAAGAGAATGACTTCGTATTCCCGTAATTCTGTAGGCCGTAGTTACTAGTTAGTCCCATACTTCGTATAACCCGTTTTAGTTCTTTATATTAATATTAATACTCTATTTGTAATTTAAGCAATTTTCATTATTGAAAAAATGGGGCCCCAACAATGGTGAGCCTTGTTCCAGATCTAGAACATGATAAACATGTTAAATGTGGACTCTTCGAGGTGTCTTATATCCAAAGATCATGTTGAAAGCCATCATTACATTTTGATGCATATCATTTCACAAATGATCAATATCCTCTTTGCCGCTAATTGTTACCGGAATATTAAATTGATAAAGTTAGAATAAAGTAGAAATTATTTAGAATCATTGCCTAGCTAGTTTGGTCCGAAACAAGCTTTATGGGACGGAAAAGAAAGATACTAGTACAATTTAGTTCTATTTAGTTTTCTCAAGATTTATATGGCACCAATTTATGTGACCAATCAATTTCTTTTTCTATCCTATTATTCTTATTTCTTTTCCATTTTTATTGTTCTATTTCTTACTCTATTAGGAGAATTGTTTTTTGTAAAATTTCCTTCCCAAATAGATTTTTTTTGTCATTTTCATTGTCTTCCCGTATTTTTATTTCATTTTCTTTTTTATGTTTATCGTATTAATCACTCTCTTCTTATTAAATACCTTTTTCTCACTCTACTTTTTGTTATATTTTCTTTATATTTCAACTTTCCCACTTTTTTCTTCTTGTTACTTTTTTTTGTGTTTTTCTTGTTTTTTCTGGTTATCTTAATTCCACCATCAATATATGTTTTCTACTTTTTGCATTATCCTATTTTTTAAAGTAAATCCATCTATTAATTCCCTCAATTATGTAAAAAACTCCATGTGACAAAAAGATTATGGAAAAATTAAATTAAAAGAAATAAATATTAGCGAAAATGAAAGAAAACAAATACTACGTACATTTTCCCTAATGTTTTATTTTTCTTTACATTTCCCAAATGTTTTATTTTTCCATAATCTTTTTATCACACGGAGTTTTTCCCACAATTGATAGAATTAATGATGAATTTACTTAGAAAAATACAATAATGAAGAAAGAAGAAAAAACATATTGATGGTGAAATTAAGATAACAAGAAGAAAGAAGAAAAAATATAAATAAAGTAACAAGAAGAGAAAAGGGAAAAAGTGAAAATAAAAAGAAAATATACCATAAAGTAGAGTGTAAACAAATCTTTAATAAAAAAATGATTAAGAAGAAAAACATAAAAAGGAAATGAAATAAAAACACGAGAAGAAAAAGAAAACGACAAAAAGAGCTATTTTGGAGGTAAATTTTACAACAACAAAAACTCTCGTAATAGAGTGAGAAATAGAATAACAAAGATGAAAAAGAAATAAGAACAAATTAAAAGAATAGAAAAAGGAATAAAAAAGTGTCTAGAGATGAAAGTCAAGAAAGAAATTTTTAGGGAAAAAAAGAAAAAATGAAACATGAGGTCGTTTTGAACAAATTTGTGAAACGTGAGATTATTTATGCAAGGTTTTCAAAGAAAGGGTAAAAACCTGGTATAGCATGTCACTGACCGGTCAGGGTCCAACGAAAGAAGACGAAGTGGAAAGGTAAGATTATTTTAGGATTACGAAGGTAAGACCGTAAGATTATTATGACAAGATCGATAAAATGTGAGATTATTCTTCTCAATTTTTCCATAATAATATTGCATTGGAGAAAAACTTAGTACCTAGAGATCAAGGGTATTTGCATTGGAGAGCAAGGGATAAATCTTGTTGAGAAAACTTATTGTTGTGGTATTGGTCCACCTCATCTATGGGCCATCCCTGAGCTGCCTTTTGGTCCACCTCATTTATGGAGTTGGTCTCCTATTAATTGTCCTGGCCCAAATGGGCTGTCTACCCGACCAAGCCCATCCCCCCGTTTTGTCTTATAACTCAGCCCATCCCTTGTGGCCCTCCCTTATATTTGGCTGGTTCTTCTGGAATCCTCCTATTTCTGCCTCTCCGCCTTCTCTCTAAAATGACGCTTCAGTTCGGTTACCCTAGACCTAGAGTGAGAGAGTGCCGGTTTCCTCTGAGCTTTAGCTCCGGCTTTGCTCCGGTGAGACCTTTGGAATTCTTCTGTGGGCTTCACTCTGGTCTGGTAGTGTGGTGGGTTATCTGTAGCTCCGGTGGGTTCTCTGGGCTGGGGTCTGGGTTCTTTGTGTGAGGGCTTGTTGGCTGTCGCCCTTCTGTCTTCCCCGGTTGTATCCCTGGTGGTGAGTGTGAGCAAGCCTTTGGGCTTGGTGGTGATTGAGGTCTGAGCCGGTCCGGTTTTCCAACACTTATTAATAACGTATTCATCTACTCCGTATATGATAATATGAGCAAATTTAACCAAATGAGTCTCCTAAGGTTTAAAGTATATGGCTCAAATTAGGTTATGCAAGGACATCAAATGTCCATAATAAAAAAATTAATTTTGCATGTCTATCAAACACACACGCACATACATACATTAATAAGAGGTGTATACGGGTGAGCCTAGCTGAACTGGTTAAAAGGGAGTGTCATGAGGGTTAGGTCCCCTGTTCGAATACAGTAAAAAATGCATAAGCATCTTCAAATACACCAAGCCCACTCTCTATCCCACTCAATTTTTTTTTTATGAATAAGATGTGTATGTCTTTCACCGTATTCATGTGCTCTGTGTTGTAATATGTCTTTCTCCGTTTCATATACCATCTCTAATAGGGATGATCTTTCCATGACCAGGATTTCTGGAAAAACTGAGCACTATTAGTGCATACTTTCTGCTATTGTACTATTAGTGCATACTTAGAAGGAATCAAACCCAAGAAAACAGAACTTTGACAAAAACGGAAAAAAAAGGAAAAAGCAGAGACTTGTTTACAGGACTCATTGCAATGCAGTATCTCTGCCCGTATCCTGGTAATTATGTGCTGTACTTTCAGGTCTGGACTTTTGTTTCCTGTGCTGTGTTTGTTTCTCTAAAGCGAAAAGAAGAAGAAAAGGAAACAAGAAAACTCTCTTTTTCGTTGGACTTGAGTGTATTCTACATCAAATTGCTCTTGAGCCCAGAGAATCTTTGTAAGCTCTCTCTTTCAAAATGGAAGCCAAGGTGCCCAGATTCTTCGAGGTGTTGCCTCCTGGTTTTCATGCCAGACTGGTATTCTCTTTCTCTCTCTTTTGCACATTTCTTCTTCCTCGGGCTCTCTTACATTGAAATATTCCTACTGCTGGATCTTTTTTTGTGGAAATTTTTTAATGGTGCAGAGGCTTCCACGGATTATATCAAGGAAACTGCGTGAAAAGGAGACACAAAAAGTTTTGTTGATAACGGTAAAGGGAAACTCTCTGGTCACTATCCAAAAATTACAAGATGGGAGGCTATGGTTCACCAACGGGTGGTATGCTTTTGTCCTCAAGCATGGCCTTACTACTGGAGACTTTATCACTTTTAAACACATGGGTAGCTCCAATTTCAAAGTCACAGTTTATACCGAGACCTGCTGTGAGAAGGATTTCATTGATGAACCTGAGGCAGAAGTTAAGGGTAAGTGACTATGTTATTGTGTATATATGTTCAGTTTTGGGTAAACTTCATTGCCCTGAGCCTCTAACGAACTGTAAAACAGCTCAAACATTGGAGAAAAATGCCAGCCCATTGGTAGAGTCTGAAGCTGAAGAAGTGCCTCCCCCGCCTCCTTCTCCTACTCAACACCATTTTCATATGAATGATGGTTCAAATTCTAGGGAGGGACTTAATTGGAGTAAGTTTAATTTCGTTTCGTTGGATGGGTCAAGAGTGTAGCCATTCTTTAAATCTTTTCAATAACTGCATTAGGGGAAGAAAAATCTGGTTAAGACTATTTGTTACAAATCTGCAATTCTTTCCAGCAATGGCTTTGCACACAGGGTGGAATTTAGACCATTGTTTTGCTGTCTCTCTTTTCAGCCTTAACTGAGTAGAAACTATTCCATTAGATCATCTTTTGGAGGCATCAACAGATGAGCTGCCGTTGAGATCAGCAATAGTCGGAAAGCTTTCTTATAAAGTGTTTCTTCCCCCGGCGATGGCAGGAGGTGCGGAAGGGATGCTTACGTTCAGTTGGCGGTTCTTAAAGGTCATGTTTCCCGGTTTTGAGACTCAACTGGTATGATCCTTGTCTCAAATTATCTGCATCTTCTTAATTAATCTTTTATTCAATTTTCCCCACTTTTGCCCCCCTGACTTTGCCAATATTCCATTCTTTTCATTGTGTCTTAACTCTTAATCATAAGCATATAAGTTTTAATGTTAGAATTAGAATAAGAATGGTTCCATAACTTCCATCCAGACAAAGATGGGATCTTTTCTAGTTTTGTTTGGAGCATTTATTTTACTATTCCTTTTATTTATTAGAATAAGACCTCATAATTTGTGCCATAGAACAAAAGCAGTTGGTAGATTTAGTTATAGAACTCTTCCTTCCAAAACAACTCAACAAATACGGAGTAATTTTGTATATAATAATTAACAGTTTTTCTTCATATTGTGAAAAGCAGACTCTGCCGCCCTTGGTTTGTGAAAAACTTAATGGAGAGAAGTCATCAAAAGCAACTTTAGTTACTGCAAAGGGTTCATGGGATGTGGATATAGAAAATGGTGACCAAGGAAACCTTTGTTTTGGGAAGGGGTGGGATGCATTTGTCATGAACCATGGATCAAGAGTGGAAGATTTTGCAGTATTTGAATACATAGGTGGAATTGGCTTTAATGTTTCATTGTTAGACAAAAGTGGCATTGAGAAAAAGATGGATTCTGTTAATCCAGGAGAGGAAGATGATCAGAAGATAGATTCTACTAAACCCAACCCAATCAATGAAGAGCGCTTTAAGCTTTTTGCTGTGAAGGTGGAAAGGGATGAAGACATTATCACTTCTCAACTCAATTCTCGTCTTGCTCCACTTTTGCAAATATTGGCTGAGATGGACAATGAGGATTTCACTTCTTATGATGGAGAGAAAAGGACCGCCTCCAATCACTAGCCCATCTGGTAATTCAGTTAACAGGGAACTTATCCCTTTTCAAGTTGATGATGTCAAACCAATTTCCCAAATAAAACCTCAGAATAATGACATAAAAAGCGGTTCTACAAAGCGGAAAAGGGAGGATGGTGCGAAAAAAGTGGATAGTACTATCCTTTCTTAAACCTGGATTTCAGCCTATCCTCCCTTTTAATGTCCACTTTTTTCGCACTGTCCTCCCTTTTCCGCTTTGTAGAACCGCTTTTTATATTATTATTCTGAGGTTTTAATTGGGAAATTGGGTTGACATCATCTACTTGAAAAGGGATAAGTTCCCTGTTAAGTGAATTACCGGATGGGCTAGTGATTGGAGGCGGTCCTTTCTCTCCATCATAAGAAGTGAAATCATCATTGTCCATCTCAGCCAATATTTGCAAAAGTGGAGCAAGATGAGAAGTGATAATGTCTTCATCCCTTTCCAGATTACGGGTACATATAAGATCTCTCTTTCAAAATGGAACTCAAGGTGCCCAGATTCTTCAAGGTGTTGATTCCTGGATTTCATGCCAGACTGGTATTCTTCAAAGTGTTGCTTCCTGGATTTGATGCCTGTCTGGTATTCTCTCTATTTCCTCTCTTCTTCTTCATCCCTTTTTTTTATCATAATATTCCTACATTGAGAGCCTTTTTGTGGAAAATATTTAAATGGTGCAGAGGCTTCCACCTATAATGTCATGGAAGCTGGGCGAAAAGGAAGCAAAAAAAGCTATGCTAATAACTAAAAAGGGAACCTCTGCGGTCACTATCCAGGAATCGCAAGATGGGGGGCTGTGGTTCACCAATGGGTGGCATGCTTTTGTCCTCAAACATGGCCTTGTAGCTGGAGATTTTATCACTTTTAAATGCATGGGTAGCTCTAATTTCAAAGTCACAGTTTATACTCTGACCTGCTGTGAGAAGGATTTCATTGATGAACTTGAGACAGAAGATAAGGGTAAGTGACAATGTTATTGTGTATATATATTCCTGTGTTCTAGGTAAACTTCTCTGCTCTAACCAACTGTCAAACAGCTGATACGGGGGCGAATAATGCCAGACCATCGGTGAAGTCTGAAGCTGAAGAAGTGCCTCCCCCTCCTCCTACTCAACATCATTTCCGTATGAATGATGGTTCAGAGGCCAGGAGGTTCAATTTCTATGGGAGTAAGTTCAGTTTAGTTTCTTAGGACGAGTCAAGAGTGTAATTATTCTTTAATTCTTTTCAATAACTGCATCATGGCAGGTAAAAACCAGGTAAGACTTTGTTTTAAATTCTGCAATTCTTTGGAGCAATGGCTCTGATTTAGGCTTTGCACTCAGGGTGGAATTTACACCTTTGTTTTGCTGCATCCCTTCTCAGCCTCTTGGATAGGCATTGCCAAGCATAATTATTAGAACATGAAGGTTGACTTCAGGCCCCTCTTTCTTTTAGTGTCCGTTTGGACCCCTGAAAACACTTCAGAGGATATAGGAAGGAAAGCTTATAGGAAAATTAGAAGGAAAGAAAATGTGGGAGGAAATTTAAGATGGAAATAAAACTCAAACGATTTCTTAGATGTGTGCTGATACTCATTTCTTGTGATCCCCACATACCCTCAAACAATCTAAAAAAAATCCCACCTATTCTACCTAATTTCTTGTAGAAGTAAGAAAACCCTACAAAATTGAGTCATTTGCTGTAATTGTAATATCAATCTTGATCAGGATACTAGGTGAATGAATGCATGTCATGAACTATGGATTAAGCGGAAGAATTTGCTGCATTTCAATACATAGGTAGAATTTGCTTCAATGTTTCTTTGCTTGACAAAGTGGCCTCTGTCATGCCAGGGGAGGAAGATGATCAGAAGATACATTCTGCCAAACTCAACCCAATCAATAAAAAACACTTCGAGGTATCTGCTGTGAAGGTGGAAAGGGATGAAGACATCTGCCCCCCTAGACCCCTCCCTAGGTCCTCCACTGATCACTCATTAACTCAATGATAATTTCTCTTCCCAAGATGGAGAGAAAGGACTATCTCCAAATACTACTCGATCTTGCAATTCAGTTAATAGGTAACTGATCCCCTTTCAAGTTTATGATGTCAAACAAATTTCCCTTAAAAAACTCAGAATAATGATATACAAAGCTGTTCTGTAAAGTTAAAAATGGAGGGCGATGTGAAAAAAGTGGACATTAAAAGTAAGTCTGTGGCTGCCCTGTTTTTTTGTAAATACTGCATAATTCCTTTTTTTGTTTGTAAAATCAATGCATGATTTTAATTCATAATAATATTAGCGTGCACATGAGACTAGTTGGATTCGCAACCTTGAGAGAAAATGTGAGTTATAATTCATTTTAATATACTACGTATTACTTTGTTTATTCAATGTCGTACTAAAGTCTGATGTTTGGTAGGTAATAAAGTACCTAACAAAGTCTGCAGTTTTCATTAATAATGAAGTCATACCATCTCCTTCATCGATCTCTTTATATGGTAAGCTTTTGAATCTCAACCCTGAGCTCTCTTTGAAGGTTTGGAGGTGAATAATTTTAGTCTTCATTCTTCAATGTTAAAAAAATTAGTTTTTAACATAATATGTGGTTATATAACATTTGATACATTTTTAGAAACATTTGATCTGTCAAGATATAGATTAAACCCTTCAAATACTTCCCCTACAAATAAACCGTTAGAATTCATTTGTTCATTACAAACTCAAACTTAAACTGTCCGATTTTTCCTCAAAAAACAGAACTTTTGCTGTTTTTTTTGTCTTATACTAATAATATGTTTCTTAAATCTGTATTTCAGCATGTCCCTGCAGGATTTCTTAATATGTTTATCAAAATGCAAGACTAACTCTGAGAGGGCCAATGGTTGAGCAAGAAGTCAGCCTTAGGGTTTGCAAGGGAGGGAGCACCAAATATGCAGTCATCACTGAAGAATTCAATTGCAACAACCATGAAGCTTCCTCCATGTGCAAGCAACAACCATGAAGCTTCCTCCATGTGCAAGCAACAACCATGAAGCTTCATCCATGTGCAAGAATGACAAAGGGAGCTTCCTCAAAGTTTCCTCATGTTTAATCCCACCTTCCTCCCACCTTCATAGTACCTAGTTTTGGTGCTATAAATAGAGAGCTTGGAGAGTCTTTTTATTATCAAGTAAATTAGAATAGATCATCATAGCACAACCAAGAAGAGTTGTGAATATCCTTGAGAGATATGTGAGGTGTTGTTTTGAGAGTTTTTTAATTAGAGCTTGTATGTCTCTTCTTTCTATTCTTGAAAGTAATAGAAGTGTTTTTCTCTCATATTAGCACGATCCTGTTATTCCCAACAAGTGGTATCAGAGCCTGGCTGAGCTTTTGGTATTTTTTCCCCAGAATTTTCGGATAAAATTCTACTGTCTGAAAATTCGTGTTTTTTGGTTTTGCTCGCAATTGCAATCTGAATACACCGTTAGATTCGTCTCGTCGAGACGAGAAAACTGGTATTTTTTGGTAATTTTTAGGCCAACGGAAGCCACCACACGCGCCGCCTACGTGCCGATGGTGAGGAGCTCGCTGACGTCATCCCTGACGTCATTCTGCACGCATGCCAGAGGTTGAAGACAGCTGACGTCATCAGCCAGTCAGAGCTGTGTCAGCGACACATCAGCGCCACGAGTGCACATCCGCCACATCATCAGCTCACTGCCATCTTCCACCAGCGCCCAGTCAACTGCCACGTCAACGCCCAGTTAGCGCCACGTCATCTGCCACGTCATCTGCCACGTCACCGGTCAGTTTTTAAATTTTGAAAAATTGCAGTTAGGTCCCTCAATTTTTGGAAAATTATAATTTCCACCTATAATTTTTCGAAAAATGTATTTTGACCCCGAAAGTGTCTACCCACCATTTTTGGCCGTTCCGGACGCAACGGTGCTGCCCATTTTTCAAAATTCTGCTCCGATTTTTCTCAAACAGAATATTAAAATTATTTAGAAGGTGAAAATGACCTTTGACGAGTCAACTTCATCTTCCGGAGCTATGATTATGCTCACGGCTACCAAGTACACGCTATGGAAACCTCGGATGGAAGATTTCCTTAGCTGTAAAGACCTTTTTGATCCAATAGAGATGAAAGGTATTAATCCTGACCCACCCAAATCAATAGAGTGGAAGAAAATAAATAGAAAAACTATTGGTCAAATCCGTCAATGGATTGATCATAGTGTCTTCCACCACGTTGCACAAGAAACCGACGCTTATGCTCTTTGGAAGAAGCTAGAAGATATGTACCAGGCCAAGACCGCCAGGAATAAGGCCCTACTGATGAGGCGTCTTGTCAATATGAAGCTCAAAAGTGGAACTTCTGTTGCCGAACATACTAGTCAGTTTCAGAGTCTGGTAAATCAACTATCTTGTGTAGAAATGCCACTTGGAGATGAAATGCAATCTCTACTACTTCTTAGTTCCCTTCCTGATAGTTGGGAGACACTAGTTGTTACTCTCAGCAACTCAGCCCCAGATGGCAAACTTACCATGTATGTGGTCAAGGATGCATTGTTCAATGAGGAGGCAAGGAGGAAAGACATGAGCACAGATCAGACTCATGCTCTTGTGACGGAGAATCGAGGAAGATCACAAGGAAAGCAACAAAGAAACAGTAGAGGAAAGTGGCAAAGCAGAGGCAAAAGTCGGGGGAGATCATCAGATGGCCGGAAACCTTCTTATACCTTCCACCATTGCGGTATAGAGGGTCACATGAAGAAGAATTGCTACAAATTGCTAGAGGAGCGAGGCAAGAGCAATTCTCAAGCGAAGAACAAGGGTGGTGAAGCGCTCATCACAATCTCAGGTGATGTGGTGTATTGTACTAGCAATGATGAAACATGCCTGCACGTCTCAAGAGAGGACACTGAATGGAGGGTAGATACTGCAACATCCTACCATGTTACTCCCCACAGGTACTACTTCACAACTTACAAAGCTGGAGACTTTGGAGCAGTAAAGATGGGCAATTCCAGTTCCTCTGGAATAGCTGGAATTGGTGATATACAAATAAAGACGAGTACTGGGAGCACAATCACTTTGAAGGATGTCAGACATGTCCCAGACCTTCGGCTCAATCTCCTATCTGTGGTATGTCTTGACGAACAGGGGTATGACAACCACTTTAACAGGGGCACCTGGAAAATGTCAAAGGGCATTTTGACAATCGCTCGAGGACATGTTTGTGGCACATTGTACAAAACCCATTTGAGGATTTGTATGGATAGCCTCAACATTGCAGAGGAGACTTCTCAGAATCTGTGGCACCTGAGGCTCGGCCACATCGGTGAGAAAGGGTTGACTACCTTGATGAAGAAGAACCTTATCAACATTGACAAGAATTCTGCACCGGGTCCTTGCAGTCATTGTCTATTTGGTAAGCAACATAGAGTATCATTTAGTTCTACTTCAACTAAAAGAACGGAGTTGCTAAGTTTGGTACACTCCGATGTCTGTGGTCCTTTCGAGGTAGAATCAATCGGTGGAAGCAGATATTTTCTGACTTTTATCGATGATGCTTCTCGGAAAGTGTGGGTGTATTTCCTGACGACGAAGGATCGGGTCTTTGAGAGCTTCAAGACATTTCACGTCTTGGTGGAACGTGAAACAGGAAAGAAGTTGAAATGTCTCCGATCTGATAATGGAGGCGAATATACATCCAAGGCGTTCGATGCATATTGCAGAGAATATGGCATTCGACATGAGAAGTCAGTACCACGCACCCCTCAGCACAACGGTGTTGCTGAAAGAATGAACCGGACTATCATGGAGCGTGTCCGGAGCATGCTAAATGTGGCTAAACTTCCAAAGTTATTTTGGGGAGAAGCAGTCAACACCGCATGCTATCTTATCAACCGATCACCTTCAGTACCACTGAACTTTGAAGTTCCAGAGAGGCTATGGACAGGTAAGGATCCTACATACTCACATCTTAGAGTTTTTGGTTGTTCATCATATGCACATGTATCCAAAGAGCTCAGACAGAAGCTCGATGCAAGAACTATCCCATGCATTTTCGTTGGCTATGGAAATGAAGAGTTTGGATACAGGTTATGGGATCCTAAGGAGAAAAAGGTGTTCAGAAGCAGGGACGTTGTGTTCCATGAAGATTTGACAATAGAAGACATTGAAAAATCCACAATGTCTCGGAAGTCAAATGAGGGTGTTCAAGTTTCAAATGAAGCACCTGAATTATTCTTGAGAAACAATGACGAAGAGCATGAAAACAACTCAGAAGCAGAAGAGGATGAGGAGACAGAAGAGAGTACAGAGAAAGGGGAGTCACAACCCACCTCGCCAGGCACAGATGATGGTAGCTCTTCTGAGATGGTTCCAACTGTTCGTAGATCTGAACGAGGCCATATACCATCGAAAAGGTACACATCATCTGAATATCTTTTGTTAACTAAAGATGGAGAACCAGAGAGTTTTCAAGAAGCTGTGTCTCATAAGGATAAAGAAAAATGGCTAATAGCAATGCAGGATGAGTTAGAATCTCTGCAGAAAAATCAAACTTATGAGATTGTAGAACTTCCTAAAGGGAAGAAGGCACTGAGGAACAAATGGGTGTTCAAGCTGAAGAAGGATGCAAGCGGACAAGTGGTGAAACACAAAGCTCGGTTGGTTGTCAAAGGATTCCAACAGAAGAAGGGAATTGACTTTGATGAGATCTTTGCACCAGTTGTCAAGATGACCTCAATCCAAGTTATACTTGGCTTGGCAGCAAGTATGAACTTGGAGCTTGAATAGATGGATGTGAAGACAGCATTTCTTCACGGAGATTTGAAAGAAGAAATCTATATGCAGCAGCCGGAAGGTTTTGAGAGCTCAAATGATAACTTTGTGTGTAAGTTATCTAAAAGTTTGTATGGCTTGAAGCAGTCACCAAGGCAGTGGAATAAGAAGTTTGACTCATGCATGAAGAGTCAAGGCTACAAGAAGACTACTGCAGATGAGTGTGTATACATCAAGAAACTCCCAGACGGTACTTTCATTGCTCTTCTACTATATGTAGACGACATGTTGATCGTTGGGAAAGATGCAGTGATGATAAACCAGCTGAAGAAAGAACTCTCTAAGTGTTTTGATATGAAAGACTTAGGACCGGCTCAACAGATTCTTGGGATGCAGATCACTCGAGACAGGAAGAATCGCAAGTTATGGCTTTCTCAAGAGAAGTACATTGAACGAGTACTTGAGTGATTCAACATGAATGATGCCAAACCAGTTAGTGTTCCACTTGCGAATCACTTCAAGTTGAGCAAAAGAACATGCCCTACATCCAAGGAAGAGATCGGGGAGATGTTAGCAGTTCCATATTCTTCGGCAGTTGGGAGTTTGATGTACGCCATGGTATGCACAAGGCCAGACATCGCACAAGCAGTGGGTACAGTAAGTCGTTTTCTCTCTAACCCTGGGAAGGAGCATTGGGAGGCAGTCAAATGGATTCTCAGATACTTGAAAGGTACCACGAAGTTATGTCTTTGTTACGGAGGAGCTGATCCAAACTTGGAAGGCTACACAGATGCTGATATGGCCGGAGATATTGATAGTAGAAAGTCTACTACAGGATATATCTACACTTTTGTAGGGGGAGCTGTTTCTTGGCAATCAAGATTGCAGAAGTGTGTCGCTTTATCTACAACAGAAGCAGAATACATTGCTGCCGCTGAAGCAGGTAAGGAAATGTTGTGGCTAAAGCGCTTTCTCCAAGAACTTGTGATCCACCAGAAAGAGTACCAGGTACATTGTGACAGTCAGAGTGCTCTAGACTTGAGCAAGAACTCTATGTACCATTCTCGTACAAAGCATATTGATATTCGGTATCATTGGATACGGGAGACGATTGATCAACACCGGTTGAGACTAGTGAAGATCAATACAAAGGAGAATCCATCAGACATGCTGACAAAGGTGGTGACACGAGATAAGCTAGAGCTATGCAGAGACATAGTCGGGATGCTTGTTTTGAATATGCCTGGAAGGGGAGAATTGAAGAATTCAATTTCCAGGACATATCCAAGTACAAGCAAATTGAAGAATCCAATTGCAACAACCATGAAGCTTCTTCCATGTGCAAGCAACAACCATGAAGCTTCATCCATGTGCAAGAATGACAAAGGGAGCTTCCTCAAAGTTTCCTCATGTTTAATCCCACCTTCATCCCACCTTCATAGTACCTAGTTTTGGTGCTATAAATAGAGAGCTTGGAGAGTCTTTTTATTATCAAGTAAATTAGAATAGATCATCATAGCACAACCAAGAAGAGTTGTGAATATCCTTGAGAGATATGTGAGGTGTTGTTTTGAGACTTTTTTAATTAGAGCTTGTATGTCTCTTCTTTCTATTCTTGAAAGTAATAGAAGTGTTTTTCTCTCATATTAGCACGATCCTGTTATTCCCAACAATCACTAGGGGTTGGCCGGAGTTCATTGTAGGAAACAAACTCAGAGTGGGAGACAATTGCGTCTTCAAACTTCAGTGTGCCGGAACTAGTTCAGCTGGTGTTGTGTTGGATGTTGAGGTTGTCGCGGCATAATTCTAGGGTTAGATAGAAATTTACCCAATTTATATGCACAGACTGATTAATGTGGTTAACTTAATATTGTCGGTCTTTTGAGATACTGATTTAGGAAATTATTTGTGTGTTGGTGAATGTTAACCTTTTTAGATCGGTTTTACATACAATATGATGTTCCAATTTGAAGTCAAGCATTTGGTATCCTTGACAAGTATGGAGATATAGAGGGCAAATTATACCGTGCAACCGGCGCACGGTGCGCCCGGTTGCAAAACGACGCAGCTTGCCCCCCATTTTTTTTTTGTTTTTATTGTTAAAAAATGATAATAACTTTTTTATTTTTGATCCGATTTTTATAAAATTCATATCAACATTTTTTATTTTTCATGATCTTTCAAATGAGACCAATATTGCTTATGTAATTTTAAGAAATTATCGAACTATTATATTAATGAGTATTGGATTATAAGGAAAATCAAATCTGTTTGGGAGATGATAGGTTTGTGAAATAGAAGATCGAATCTGTTTGGGAGTGGATCAGTGGCCTCAGTTACATTTGATAATACATTGAGTTACATCTTTTTATGAGCGAGTTACATCTTTTTATAAGCAAGTTACATCTTTTTATAAGCAAGTTACATCTTTTTATAAGCAAGTTACATCTTTTTAAAAGTGAGTTACATATATATAAACATGAGTTGCATTTGACATGCCTGAACGCGACTTACATATATTTACACATAAAGTTACATATTTTTACACGTAAAGTTACATATTTATACACGCGAGTTACATATTTATACACACGAGTTGCATTTGACCTGTCTGAACGCGAGTTACATATTTTTTTACGTAAAGTTACATATTGTTACACGTAGAGATACATATTTATACACACGAGTTGCATTTGACCTGACTGAACGTGAGTTACATATTTTAACACGTAAAGTTACATATTTTACACGCAAGTGTTAATATGTTAAAATTACATATGCAATATTGGTCTCATTTGAAAGATCATGAAAAATAAAAAATATTGATATAAATTTTATAAAAATCGAATCAAAAATAAAAAAGTTATTACCATTTTTTAAAAACAAAAGGAAAAAAAAATATAAATCTGTACCGGTATACGGTGTTCACCATATACCGGTCCTACGGTATAGGCACTCGATATAGAGAAGTTGAGTCTTCTGGTACGAAGAGATTAAGATATTGGGAGAAGAAGAATAGAATTGGTTGACACTTTTAATGCTTATAATTAATATGATATGATTAATGAATGATAAGAAAAGGTTATCAAAATCTCCAATTGTACATACATGGATCGTAAACATTGAATTTGGTCTGTATATACATTTATTTATTTTATTCATATATATAACACAATGATGGCAATTTTATGTCTACAATGTAAATAAAAGAAAGGAGTGTGTTGTTGATATTTTTATAGTAACTATAGTTATTATTAGAATGTTCAACTTTACACCATATTGAACTATAGCAGTACTTTTACGAATACAAATAAATGAGGGAGATTTCAACTAGTAGGAGCAAAACGTACGGATTTTCCAAAACTAAGACCGAAGATTAGCGTAAGACTCAACTACACCTGCATTGACCACAATACCCTCACTTTTAAAAAATAACAGATATTAAATAGACAATAAGTAGACAATAATTGAGAATGTAAAGGTCGGGTAATGAATTTATGTAATTTACATTGAATTTAGTTAAGTATAGTGAAGATGATTCGGAGTTGCATATATGTGTTATGACGAACATTTTAAAATGAATCGAAATAGAAAATGGTACGTAGTATAAAAATGTGGGACAAAATGAGTACAACATATAATATTCAATTGATCAAATAACATCGGGTAAAGTGTATATCAAGTTCGATCTTATACGTAATATAACATTTGCGGCCTCATACAAACTGAGACTTCTTTCTCTTTAATAAGACATGTAAACACCTAATATCCTCAAATCATGGAGGGCAAATTTATAAAATGAGACAAGTGTGGAATGGGAGGAATGAGTTCAGACACCCTTTTCTCTGATGACCTATGTTTATATACGTAGATAGATGTGCACATACCACACAATCTTGGACTCTGGTAAAATTTAATACGTAGTAGTTTTTGACATTGCACACAGTAATCAATAACATGTCAAACTACAAGGAATCGTTCCATTACAACTCTGTGGTTGTTTAGGATATTCATAACAATTATTATATGTTCTTTGATGAAATTATCACCTTATCTATTATGTAGACGTTTTTTTGTATGTGCAAGGGGCATTAGTTCTATTCTAAGTATTAATACTAAATTTTAGGGTCAGAAGTGGAGGAACTTGCCCCCAGACCTCCCTAAGTCATACACTAATAGTATATGTGCGGTGCAATACAATTTTTTCTTGGGAAAACTGTAAAATAGGTTCTGTGTATGATCCATGTACTTTTTTTAAGTCAATCAAGCCCCTAGTTGCCGATTCAAAATTAGTACACAACTTGTACACAATCCCCTAGTTGTCTGTGTACACATTAAATTCGTTTGAAAAAGGCATAATTTTATGCCAAAGTATTTGTGTAGAATGACATTGTACAATTTGTGTACCCACATTTTGTGTATAGGAAGAATCACCGTATCCCTCACTTGTAAAAGGTAATGCTAACTGCTGAGTCCATTGTCATTCTCGGGAAACATGAAACATAGTTGTAGGTGGGGCACCAACTATGACGCCATTACGAGGAACCGGTCTGATTAGAAACCAAGGTAAAATGCATTTTTACATTGTGTAAACGCCTCTGTATCTTCGTGAGGTTTATTTCTTTGTCACTGATTTTATACACACTATGAAATTATGAATTACTACCTCCGTTTGCATTTAGGTGAATAGGTGATTGATATTAAATTGATAAAACGAGAATAAAGTTGGAACGATTTAGAACCATACGCATGTTACAAATTTTGGGACGGAATAAGAAAGAAAGGTTGAAAAAATTAGCTCTATATAGTTTTCTCGAGATATATGTGGCAAATTAATTCCGTTTGAATACTACTCCGTACTTTTTACGAGTGTGGTTGCATCATGTTCTACGGTGCCCCATTTTCAGTGTACTGAAGCCAAACTGGTATACTGCGAGATCCTACTGCGATTTCCTTGATATACTGTCTTGCACCAGGATCCTCTGCACCATTACAGTGTACTCAAAAAACTAATCGCACCAGGATTTCCTTGATATACTGTCTTGCATTTTGGTGTACACTTTCTTATACACATGAGTACACCCCGTGTCTGTGAGATTTTTTGTCCGTGAATCTCAGTCCACAGACAAAAATTGATTTGTTTTGTCTGTGAAAAATTCTACAGACAAAACAAGCCACTTTTTGTCTGTGAATTGAGATTCATAGACAAAAAAAAACTCTTGCAATGCAAAAAAACTCTTGCAATGCAAAAAATTCCTTTTATACAAAAAAAAGTGTATAAAAGGAATTTTTGTTCTGCTATTGTACACTTGGTAAGCTCTTTTTCCAAAAAGATATTAAGGTTAGAAGGAATCAAACCCAAGAAAACAGAACTTTGACAAAAAAGGAAAAAAGGAAAAAGCAGAGACTTGTTTACAGGACTCATTGCAATGCAGTATCTCTGCCAGTATCCTGGTAGTTATGTTCTGTACTTTCAGGTCTGGACTCTTGTTTCCTCTGCTCTGTTTGTTTCTCTAAAACTAAAAAGAAGAAAAGGAAACAATAAAACTCTCTTTTTCGTTGGACTTGAGTGTATTCTACAACAAATTGCTCTTGAGACCAGAGAATCTTTGTAAGCTCTCTTTCAAAATGGAAGCCAAGGTGCCCAGATTCTTCAAGGTGTTGCCTCCTGGTTTTGAAGCCAGACTGGTATTTCCTTTCTTTCTCTATTGCACATTTCTTCTTCATCTCTTGTTTATCAAAATATTCCTAGTGCGAGATCATTTTTGATGGATTTTTTTAATGGCGCAGAGGCTTCCACCGATTATATCAAGGAAACTGGGCGAAAAGGAGGCACAAAAAGTTTTGTTGATAACTGGAAAGGGAACCTCTCTGGTCACAATCCAGAAGTTACAAGATGGGAGGCTATGGTTCACCAACGGGTGGCAAGCTTTTGTCCTCAAACATGGCCTTACTACTGGAGACTTTATCACTTTTAAACACATGGGTAGCTTCAATTTCAAAGTCACAGTTTATACCGATACCTGCTGTGAGAAGGATTTCATTGATGAACCTGAGGCAGAAGTTAAGGGTAAGTGACTATGTTCTTGTGTATATATTTTATCTCAGTCTTGGATAAACTTCATTGCCCTGAGCGTCTAACTAACTGTCAAACAGCTCAAACGCTGAAGAAAATAGCCAGCCCATCAGTGAAGTCTGAAGCTGAAGAAGTGCCTCCCCCGCCTCCTCCTCCTTCTCCTCCTCCTCCTCCTCCTCCTCCTACCCATCACCATTTTCATATGAATGATGGTTCAAATTCCAGGGAGGGACTCAATGGGAGTAAGTTTAATTTAGTTTCATTGGATGGGTCAAGAGTGTAGCCATTTTTTAATTCATTTCAATAACTGCATTAGGGGAAGAAAAATCTGGTTAAGAGTTAAGACTACTTGTTACCAAGTCTGCAATTCTTTCCAGCAATGGCTTTGACATAGGCTTTGCACTCAGGGTGGAATTTAGACCGTTGTTTTGCTGTCTCCCTTTTCAGCCTCTTAGATAGGGCTTTCCAAGACAAAATATTAGAGCGTGAAGGTTGAGTTCAGGGACTTCTTTCCTTTAGTTTCTGTTTGGACCCAAGAAAACACTGTGGAGGATATAGGATGGATAGTATATAGGAAGATTAGAAGGAAAGAAAATGTGGTGGGAAAGTTAAGAAGGGCATAAAAGTCAGTGAATTTCTTAGAGGTTTGTTGATACTCATTTTTAGTTATTTATTTCTACTAGTAAACAAAGATAATCTAAGTATATGGTTAAAAAATGAAAAAACTAATCATAATTTATTTTTCCTTTGAAAGCATTTCTTGTGATCCAAACATACCCTCAAAAAATCTAAAGATTCCACCTATTGTACCTATTCTCTTGTAAGAAGTAGGGAAATCTTACAAAATTGAGTCATTTGGTTTAACAGTAATATTAATCTTGATTAGGCATCTAGCCATCTAGGTGAATGCATGCATGCTTCTGAATAAGATGCTAGTTAAGATTAGAAAAATCCAAATGAAAGCGTGATCTGGTTTTAGCTTTTAGTGATAGGTATTAGACTAAAGATTGCTGCTTTTTTTATGTAGGAAGGACACGGGGAAATCCCTACTTTTCCAAAAGCAAAAGGAAAGCTTTTCCTTCCCCGGCCAATTCCCAAGAGCCTAGCAACATGGCGTCTGTGAAATTTGAAGAGGACAGTGTTGAAATTAGCCCCCCTATAAAAGTGAAAAAAGAAGATGAAAGATTTCCTTTCCAAGTAAAAACACCAGTAAACATGTTTGCTGCTAAAAAGAAGAGGCGTCGTCGACGTCAATGTAAGCTGAATCTAATGTTCATATTCTCTTATATATTAATGCATTCTGAATTGAATAGTTATTGCTAATAACATGCACAATTTGGTTGTTTTTTACAAATAGTTCTGAAACTGAATGTATTTTGGGGATTGTTTTGATTGAAAAAATAAACATTGGCCCTTGTTTGGTCCAACTTGTTTTAGAGGGAGGGGAGAAAAGTGTAGTGGTGGCCTAGTGGGTCTTGTTTGGTGGAGCAGCTTTAGAGAGGGGGAGGAAAGTCTAGTGGTGGGTGGTTAATGTGTTGAGTTGGGGGAGTCAGGGGAGCGCATGAAGGAAAATAGATGAGCTAAAAAGAACCTCAAAACTCCTAATATATGGCTCCCCCAATATAGGGATTTTGGAGTTGATATATTTTTTCTTTAACTCTTACCTTTTTTAATCCTCAGCTAGTAAGCTATTCCATATTATTATTATTCTTAAGCATGTTGATTGATATATTTTTACTTGCAACAAAAATATCATCAAATAATCAAATACAATATTTTGACATGTTTATTTCAAATAGTAGTTCCTCACCCTAAATGAGTATTGTTTTACTTGTTTTTGTTTACTTTTAAAGTGAGATCTATTCATTTATTAGAGAACAAGGAAAATAAAACAAAAGGGTAGGAAGGTTAGGCTAAGACCCCCCTCCTAAGGGCATACCCTCCCGAAATACATGTCTAAAGCCCAAAATCATAATACCACAACCTAGACAAACCACAAGATTTCCCCAAATGGCTTAACCTACTGATTTTACAAGACCAGGTGCCTAGAACAACCTGGCGTGTTCAGGCCCTCAAAACAGTCTTTTAATGCTACTGGATCAAATAACAACCCGCAAAATCAAAAGCTTCCCTTTGTGGCTTGACCACCCACATACATAATCACACAACCAGATACACAGCAATATAGCATGGTTGAACCCATATTTGTCCTGCTTTGGTTATTTTTGCTGCCCACCTTGTAACTACAGTAGTGTTTTGCTCCTTGTACTAATTCCTCTACTTCCTTCCCTTCTCCTCCCTCCTCTCTTTTGAATCAAACAAGGGCTTATCAATGATGTTATACGTTCAATGTGGTTTGTTTTTCCATATGTTGCTTACGTTCGCTAGCCCGAGGACAAGTAGAGGTGCTTGAACTAACGATGAAGGAATACAATATCCGCTCTCGATCTCCCTATTTGGTAAAGTTATTAGAAGTTCTCTAATCTCTATTATGCCTGTCCTCTCATAAAATTCTTCTCACGCAATAGTGTTGGATTACTTGCTTCCTTGCCACTTATGTATGTGTGGACTTCAGCACTTGCCTGTAGATTATTGTGTTGCGGCTGGGCTGGACATGAACTCGAGGTTGATTCTTAGAGGTCCTTACGGTGATCAAGGTGTGTCCCTAAGAGTCTGCACTGGTGGCAACACGAGATACTCGGTGATCACGAGAGGGTGGCCAGAATTCATTGCCACAAACAATCTGAAAGTTGGGGATGTTTGCATTTTCAAACGCCTTGACATAGGAACCTCTGATGCAATTGTATTAGATGTTGAATTTGGCAATCAGGGACAATAAAACTGGGGTGAACACTTAGCTCTCTTACCTTGTAAAACAACTTCCCTATTGAGACTTATTATGTGTAAACTATCCACCTACTGTTTAGTGATCTAAAAGTGGTTTAACAGGTTATTATCAATATGTGAGAAGGGTTAAAGAGGCACTATTTAAATTTATAGCTGTTGTTGCAACCAATTAAAGACTTCCCTTCACACACGTATGATTGATAAAAGTTATACACCCAGTGGCGTATCCAGAAAATTTGGCCAGTGGGGGCAAATTTACACTAACATTATCACACAATTTTTAGGAAAGAAATATTAATTAAAAAATCCACAGTTTATTAAAAATAAAATAATTTTTTATAAGAAACAAATGAAATATTTATTTATAAGTTTATAACTAATTTAAGTTACAAATAAACAAGTATGTTTTAATGTTATGTGAGAAAATATGTGATGAAATTACAAAATAATAAGTTATTTTAAACTAATTTGTTTATTAAGCCGAAAACCAAATATATAAAAGAATTGGATAAAATATGTAACTATAAGTGCTTTAAGTTACAATTAAACAAGTTCTAATATTAAGTGTGAAAAGATGTTATTAAAATTACATACTTGGTACTCCGTATCATTTAGTAGCTACATTAAAAAAAATGAAATCTCAAATTTAGACAAAATTTAAACAGTTGTAATAAGGCAAAAAAATAAATCAACAAGGTCGGAGTTGGGAAGATTCGAAGCCTTGACCGAAGAGCAAATCGTGTGTAGCACTCTATCCACTCAGCTAGTACGCCAGTTTTGTCATTTCCGGACTTTAAACATTATTATAATATATAAGACAATAATATATATACACAAATAAAATTTGATATATATATATAATGAGGTAAGGTGGGGGTTGAGTAGGGGCAGTTGCCCCCTGCCCCCACGCTAGATACGCCCCTATATACACCCCGCACATATATCCAACAAATGTTGTTTGATTATACAAATATACGCTAGATACGCCCCTATGACAATACATTATCATACTTATTTATTTATTTATTTATTTATTTACTTATTTATTTATTTATTTATTTATTTAGTTATTTATTAATTTATTTGTTTATTTAAATATTTATTATTTATTTATATATTTATTTATTCATGTATGTATTTATAATTTATTTATTTATTTATTTATTTATTTATTTTATTTTATTTATTTACTTATTTATATTTTTATTTTCTATTTATGTATTTATTTTCTATTTATGTATTTATTTATTCATGTATGTATTTATAATTATTTATTTACTTATTTACTTATTTATTTATTTATTTATTTATTTACTATTTATTTATTTATTTATTTATATATATATATTTTCTATTTATGTATTTATTTATTCATGTATGTATTTATAATTATTTATTTATTTATTTACTATATATTTATTTATTTATTTATTTAATTTTAGTTTTATTTATTTATTTATTTATTTATTATTTTTATTTATTTATTTATTTATATATTTATTTGTTTGTTTATATTTTTATTTATTTATTTATTTATTTATTTGAGAAATGGACTTGAACCATCAATCACGCTGAGCTAATACTAATGTGGGTATAGAGAACATAAGACATCAAGTAACAAAAGTTAAGCAGCATATCGGGTGATGGCGGTGACGTGCAAGACCACGACGTCCTCTCCCTCCTTCCGGGGCAAAAACTTATAGACTAACCTATCATTTATGTCCACGAGATTCCGTTGGCATAGACTCATCCAACCCTCGGTTACCCATGTTCGTCCATCTCCCCAAACCTTTGTCTTCATTTTCCACTCTCCTCCTTTCGGGTTACACAAGATTATAGATGGAGGCAATGTGATATCATTAATTACATCCATTGGTATGTATTCCAAACATTTAATGCTATTGTTATTTTTATTTAGTGAAAACACTAGTAAAGTCCCTTACTCATTTTTTATATCAAATGTTGGAAATTTACCGAGTCATTACGCTTTCCTCGATGAATTCTTATCACAAAATAAGGGTTTGTTGGTTGAGCATAACACCCAGACCTAAAAATATCAGGTCCATAATTGTCGAGGACATCCTTAATTTCCACCTTGGGATTGGACTTTCTCTCCCCAGCACAACCATTTCTCCTTTGTCGTCACCCTATATAATCAAATGAAATTTCATAAATAAAACTACAAAAAAACAGGCTCCACAAGTAAAAAATTAGAAATATGAGTTGTTTGTATGTGTTGTGTCTCTTTAAACTTACTCTTCGAATGCGGAACCTCGGGCCTATCTGATGCTACTGTCTCCTTCTCTTCATCTATCCTTTTCATCTATGAGTTATTTTTTGAATGATGGAAATGCTGCCTGAATCCACCGGAAGAGTGTTCGGTGCATTTCCACTATCATTTTTTGCATCCTTTTCATGACAACGATCTTCACATTTGACTCATTGTCAAATAACAAAAAGTGAAAAACACCTTGACCATCGTATAATGATGATCGCCAGTTTTTTACCTTGGTCAAAATGTTTTTACACATAATTAATTATGATTACAGAAAAATTATGCTTTGGTAAACGTGAAAGTCAATATAAGAAGTCACATTTTTTCATGTTGTCTTTATTGTAGTCATATATGGAGGTATTTGTCATTTTTTTAGGTTTTTCGTAAAGTATTATTTAAATTATACAAAGGGTCATATTTACATCTATCAACTTTATTTTAATAATATGCATTGATTTTAGTAATATACATGTCATAATTTCTTTTAATAATACCTTGGATATTTTATTTTGAAATTGTAGCTAGCCCAACACAAATTTGAACAAATATTAAAGGTAGCATGCAATTATAGAATGCACATTATTTTATTACTTAGTGGGTTTGATTCCTTGAACATTATTTATTTGAACAATGACATATTTGTAGGCAGTGGGGTAGGCGGACAGTACAGTACATTGGGGTAGGCATAGGGCGATACAAGGAATAATCGAACCCACTAAATAATAAAATAATGTGCATTTTATAATTGCATGCTACATTTAATATTTGTTCAAATTGTGTTGCGTCAGCTACAATTTCAAAATAAAATCTCCAAGGTATTATTATAAGAAATTATGACATGTATAGTACTAAATTCAATGCATATTATTAAAATAAAGATGATAGATGTAAATATGACTCTTTGTATAATTGAAATAATACTTTAGAAAAACCCTCAAAAAATAAATAATGACATATACTCCGTATATGACTACAATAAAGAGAACAAGAAAAATGTGACTTCTTTTATTGTACTCCGTACTAATTTATTATATTGAATTTTTTTAATGATTATGATTACGTTTAATTCTAAACTTCGCTCTTTAAAAGTTGCAACAGTTTGACTTTCACGTTTGCGAACACATAATTTTGACTGTAAATATAATTAATTAAGTGTAAGTAAACATTATGAAAGGTTAATTATGTGTAAGTTAAAATAGTTTGACCACGGTTTAAGAAATGGCTATCAATTGGTTTTTTAGTATGACGGTCAAGGCGTTTTTGACTTTTTGTTATTTGACAATGAGTCAAATGTGAAGATCGCTGTCACAAAAAGGATGCAAAAAAATGACAGTGGAAACTGTAAAGGTACCGAAAACTCTTCCGATGGATCCAGGCAGCACTTCTATCATTCAAAAAATCAAGAAAGAAATCAACATGGAGGTTGGTGGTGATCATGGTGGTAACGGGAAAGACGAAGAGAAGGAGGCGGGTAGCATCAGATACACCTGAGGTTCCACATTCGAAGAGTAAGTTTAAAGAGACACGTGTAACACATACAAAAAAAAACTCGTATTTCTTATTTTTTACTTGTCGAGCCTATATTTTTGTAGTTTTATTTGTGAAATTTTAATTTGATTACATAGGCGAATGGAAAATGAGAATGACTGTGCTATGGAGAAAAAGTCCAAGGGGGAAATTAAGGATGTCCCCGACCATTATGGGCTTGATATTTTTAAGTGTCGGTGTTATGTTCAACTTACAAACCCTTATTTTGTGATAAGAAACCATCGAGGAAAGCGTAATGAATCGGAAATTCCCAACATTTGATATAAAAATGAGTAACAAACTTTACTAGTGTTTTCACTAAACAAAAATTTCAATAACATTAAAAGTTTGCAGTACATACCAATGGATGTGATCAATGATATCACATTGCCTCCATATATAATCTTGCGTGACCCGAAAGGAGGAGAATGGAAAATGAAGACAAAGGTTTGGCCTGGGGCGATGGGCGAACATGGGTGACAGGGAGTTGGATGAGTCTATGCCTACAGAATCTCGTGGACATAAATGATAGGTTAGCTTGTGAGTTTTTCCCCTGGGAGGAGGGAGAGGACACCGCGGTCTTGCACGTCGATCACCGCCATCATCCGAGATTCTGCTTAACTTTTGATGCTTCATGTCTTATGTTTTCTAATCCCAAATGACTATTTGCTCTGCGTGATTGATGGTTCAATTCCATTTCTTATTTCTATTACTATCAGATTGTTGCACAATTTATTTTACTTTCTTCTACCATTTTAAAAGATTCTAAAGTTTCATTTTTTGCAGCTAATATTCTTTTGAGATCCTTCTATTAAATTGTTCCGAGTCACCCTCACGCACCCTCACGCGCCCTTACATACCCTCTTTGACCAAGATATCATCTGTTTTCGGAAAAACATTCTCAATCACCGGTCAAAATCAAAAGAGTGGCAAATTTGGTGTTTTCTTCCAAAGGTCAAAGCTGGTCAAAGCTATACTCTAAATGTCCCAAAAACTTGCAAATACATCAATCAATCACACGTTAACGATCCATCTTCGACAATATGGGTACCACCTACATATGCAGCATTCCCGGTTGGGTGTCTACCTACACTACAAGATGGTAACGATCCATGTTTAGATTACTAAGCATGAGATCATGCATTAATAACCCGTGGTTACTTACTTGTGAAATAGTCAATAATTAAGCATGAGATCCTACAAATGCACCAATAAATAGCACCATTTCCCTTTCCAATATCTCCATTATCTCATATATTTAAGCTCAATTTAGATTAGTATTTTTCTTATTTTTCTAGCATGTCTAGATTCCAAATTAGGAGCTAAAC